GGCTTTGGGAGTTTCCTCAGGGATTTTCCAGGGTCCTAAAGCAGTGGTCTCCAACCTTGGCAACTTTAAGACCTGTGGACTTCAACTCCCAGAGTACCTCAGCCAGCTGGCTGAGGAACTCTGGGAGTTGAAGTCCACAAGTCTTAAAAGTTGCCAAGGTTGGAGACCACTGCCCTAAAGGACTCCTGAGGTACTGTAATTGCACCATCTATGTTCCCTCAAGGCAATTATTAGGTTCCTCATCAAGGCAATTTTTCCAGCATCCTACACCACACTGGTCATAGAGGTAAAATCCTAGCAAAGAGAAGAGAGAGTGGCCAATGGGAGCTGGCCACTTTATTCCCAACCATATCAAGCAGTTAGGCCATCCATGAAGGATTCTAGCTTGTACCCATGGCAAAAAGAAGTATCTGACTGGGGAATCCTGGGAATTAAAGTACAGATATCTTAAAGTTGCCAAGGTTCAGAATTACTGTTTTAGAGGTATTTGCTACAAGAAAGGATAGATGTCAAGGCAGAATGTTTTCTTAACAGGACTGAATGCTGCCAGTGTGAAAAAATAGCTCAATCTCAGCTTCCTTTTGTATTCAGAAAGTGTAAAAAGTTGCAAAACATACCAACATTAATGAACATGGGGTATGGGTAGGGAAATTAACTCTATGCCCTGATAAGTGCCAAAATATGAAAAGCATTATGTAACTTGATACAGAATCTAATAAAATAATGATTTCAAAATCTCTCTATGTATTCTACTTCCTCTCCAATGTATCCCTTGCAGTAAATGCCAGTAAGGGAGAATATTTGTAGCTCAGGGTTGAAATGAAGGGTCTTTGGTGCTCTCTGAGCTTGTTAGTTTTCTTGCAGATGTTTCATTACCCAGCTAAGTAACATAATCAGTGCTAGCATTAGTAAATGTTTACATTCCTTAGAGCACTTTATAACTTGGAACAATAAAGAAGATTACATACATACATACATACATACATACATACATACATACATACATACATACATACTGGTCAGATAAATACACTCCTGGGCTAAGAAGCATATGCTACAATGGACCTAGCTCTCACAAAGAAATGGGAGTTTTAAAAGAAAAAAATCCCAGTTCAACCTTAAAATATTTGTAATGTTTATTGTATTGTCTTTGTGAAAAACAACCCCACAATCCACAAGCCACTGAGGAAGAGATACATCCATGCTGAGCTATATATGTTTTAGAGCAATTGCTATCCTTGCCAATAAATAACTTACAGTTTCAGCCTTGGAAACTTGTACTCTCACTGGACAGGTCTATGGAGATTCTCAGTCATCCAGGTCATGGTTTCCCCACAGGTGCTTTTCAAAAGGCAACTGGAAAGAAAGAAAGTCCAGTTGCCTTTTGAAAAGCACCTTTGGGTCTCACTGGCATGCTTTCATGGAAATTTACATTGATTGCAAAATCAGCATATAAATTGCACTTTCATAATCATCATGGAGTGCTTGTCTTTCTAACATTGCATTGCTGTGGTATTATTTATATTGGGTGTTAAGAAACAATAGTCGGGACCAAGAATGGTGCAGAAGTATTAAATGTCCTGGTTTAAAATGATCAAAACCACAATGGTTCAAGCAAAGAGAGCATAACATGCTTGTGGTGAGTTTCAGGAATTTCTTGGAAATCACAGTTCACAGGAACATCTAGCAACAGGGCCAAGTGAGATAAGCTTGCCAATAAACCAAAATTATGGGACTGAGGTACAACAAAAGGATAGCAGCATTTAGCCACTACTGTTGGGCTTGATGTTCAGAAAGCAGAATGATGTGAAAGCTTCCGCCTTAGTTTGTGTAAGTAGAAAAGGCAACAATTTGTTCAAGCAAAATAACCCCCAGGTCACAAAGAATAATTGAGCACACCCCACCCCCTCCCCAGATGCTCTGTGGGGTGATTATGGTGTACTTGGTACTTCAAAAATAGAAAATTGACAATTCAATGTTGTTTTATTTGTATTCGGGGATTATGTATAGTCTATGACATGAAGAGAAAAGCAATGAAATGTAATCATAATCAATAAATAGGAGAATGAGGCACCATGCCTTTAATAGCAACAGAAAAAATAGAAGCAGATGGTAGTTGAAGAATAAGCTCTTCTGAAAAAAGTATAAAAGATGCATACTTATATACTTATCTTGCTAAATAAATCATTTTTGTCATTGTTGTCTAACTGAAAGGCCATTTTATAAAAATCTGAGGGCTGCACTCAGGATTTCCAGCAGCTACACAGAGTCATGAGACTTACAATTGTGATCTGCTCAACCCTTTGTTCAATGCACAATCTGCCATATCAAACTGAATATACAACCTCCTTAACAAGAAATATTATCTTCTGTTTATTTATTCATTTATTACTATAAAGAAAGAGCTAATCATTTTCACAGCATTCTATTCTACTGTACTCATACTTTGGCAAAACCTGAATTGTTTGACATTTCCCCCCAATGTTTTTAACAGCAATGATTTGAGCAGATATAATTTGTTTTTGGTTTAGGGGGAATTGGTACTTTTGGTTAACATTTTGTAACATTTTTCAAATGAGGGGAATATTGCTTGTTTGTTGATGATGTTTTGGTGTGCTGCTGAATTAAGGGTGCTCTAAGACAGATCATGCTTAAAGGTTTTTAGAATGATATTAAAAGAATTTTATTTAGAATTTGCTTCCTTGTACCAAGTTCTAATAATGTTGTTACTAATTGCCAGGTTTCAATTATCCTTACAATTCACCCATAATGACCAACTGACAGAGAAGTGTGCATACATGCACAGAATCTACCAAACAATGTAATGTTCTTTTTTATTATCATTTGCTCTCTAACAGTTCACATATGGCAAGAGTGACATTTTTGATATAGGATTGCTCGTAATAAGGACCTTGTCAAGAATGGTGGTGAGGCCCAGCGGCTGCCAGCCCCCCTCCTCCCTCCCAGCGGAGCCTTGTCCCGCCCTCACCGGTGGGAGTCGAAGAGGCGCTCGGGGCTCTTTTGGCTTTTACTGACAGCACCGGTTCACCAACAGTATCAATTTGTTGTGCTAAATACCCTTGGAAGTAGAAGTCAAGAAGTTTCTTTAATCAAAGTTTGATACATGTACTACATGCTAGTTGAGCATGTGTCCTACCAGAGCTGATCAACACTTCAAACATTCCTTGGCAGCAACAATCGATGAAATAGCAAAATCTTTTAGAATTTGTAGGACTTTTGTCAGAACAATATGACATTTACCTTGATTACATTAGAGCAGGGGTATCAAACTCAAGGCTCAAGGGTGGACCCAGCCCACAGTGTGATTAGATCTGGCCTCAGGGCTGCCCTGGAAACAGCAAAGGACCAGCCTGCAATATCTCTGCCAGCAAAAATGGCTCGGGAGGACCATGTGCTCCATTTTTGTTGGCAGAAGGTTGCAGGAGGCTGCCCTAGCCGAAAACAGAGCTCATGAGGGCTACACACAGGGTTGGGGAGCTCAGTTTTCGCTGGCAGAGGGTTGCAGGAGGCCGTTGTAGCTGAAAACAGAGCTCGGGAGCCCATTTTCACTGGCAGAGTGCTTGAGCCACCACAGGCGCCCACCCTGACGTCACACAAGTGATGTCAAGTTGGCCACGCCCACCCTGCCCACCCTGGCCCCCAAGGTCAAACACAACCCTGATGCGGCCCTCAGTGAAATCAAATTTGACACCCCTGCATTAGAGGAAAGGTAGAATTAACTTTCATATTATTAGTTAAGATATGTTGTCAAACTGGCAGCTCCTTTACAGGAAAAATGAAATTATCAAAAAGCTAAAGAGGGAGTGTGTTATGCAGAACATACAAAAACCCTTTGCTGAACAGTTTAGTTTAAAGGACATCGTAAGTACAATTCGATAAGGATTAGGCATCTAAGTAGCTGCAAAAGGCTGACAAAGTATTGGAAAAACAAGGTTGAATAGAGTTTCCTAGAAAAGGTAAATTCCAAGGTCAGAGTAAGGTATTTGGGAGTACAATACAATTCACAAAACCTCAGATTAACGTTGCAGATAAATTCCTGCAAAATGAGACAAAGTAATTATTCAAAATGGAATAGTCACAGAACCTGTACTAAAGAATATAGCTCTACCTAGAAGAAATAAATAGGGTATAAAATATACATACTGGATTGGATTGGATTTTATTACATTTATATGCCGCCCTTTTCCCCAAAGGGGACTCAGGGCGGCTCACAATTCAAATCAGGGAAGGGNTCTGTATATTATCCAAAAGGATTTCTAATCTTCCTTTCCTGGGTACCATTCAATGTTCATGCCCAATCACTACTTATCGTAACACAACACAATGTCTAACTTATTATCATTATCAATTATTTATTTAATTATATCCATTATTACTAAATTTCGCTAAGTTTAACTAGTTTTAAGTTATATTCTTCCATCCACAAGTCTTAAAAGTTCTCAAGTTTGGACCCCCCTGCTCTAAAAGGATGCAAATGACTAGCTGTGTCTCCAAGTCCTTCTTTTCCCCACCGTCCAGTCAAGAGCCGAAGAAGCTTCTTTGGATGAGAAGCGAAACGCCTTCAGAGAAAAACGAAGGAAAAAAACCAACCCTGGCTTGGATGACTGAGAATCTCCCTGGACATCAGGCCACCGGGATGCGTTTATGACGGCTGCAGTGTCCCCTTGGACCTTCCCCGGAGACTTTCTCTCATGCCCCGGAGGGGGTGGATGGGCTGGATTACCTTTGATCCTCCCCGTGATGTACAAGAATCCGTCCTCATCGTGCCGGCCCAGATCCCCGGAATGGAGCCAGCCCTCGCCGTCAATGGCTTCTTTCGTTTTGTCTTCCATGTTCAGGTAGCCCATGAAGATGTGGCGCCCGGCGAAACAGACCTCGCCGACTCCTTCCTGGTCTGGCTTGAAAAGCATCGTCTGGCAGCCTGTGACCTCCTTGCCGCAGCTGTTGGGGGGTGGGGGAGAAGGGGTCAAGGGGTCAAGGGCTGGCAAGCATGCCCCCCGCCCCATGCAGAGTGCCCATTGCAGCAGGGAAGCACAGCAGAGTCTCCCCGTCCGTTAATGCGGGGCGGTATAAAAGAAAATCTAATTATCAAAGCTCGTTTAACAAAACAACACACCCTGATTTAACGGACTTCAGTTCAGAGAGCTTTGGATGCAACAGACAATCTGTGTGCAGCGTCTGATTTAACAGACGTCCCCTTTCCCCCGTTAGTCCGTTAAAACGAGAGCTTAACGGGATAACAATTGAGGGCTCCTCGTTGCTCTCTGAGCTGGCTTGTTTTCTTGCAGACGTTTCATTACCCTAAGTAGGTAACATCATCAGTGCTAGTGAGGAGTGGGTTGGAGGAGGAAGGGGAAGAGGAGGAGGAGGAGGAGGAGGAAGAGAACTGTGGGGTCCTTGCTGCTCTTTGAGCCGTTTCCTTGCAGACGTTTCATTAACCCAAACTAGGTAACGTCATCAGTAGTAGGTGACAGAGCTGGAAGGGACCTCGGAGGTCTTCTAGTCCAACCCCCTCTGCTCAGGCAGGAAATCCTGAATTTCTGACATGGCCACCCAAATGTTTACAACTTTGTGGGTATTTCCGTTATTTAGGCCCTTTTACTCAGAACTTGCTCCGTTCGTTTTTGTTTTTAATTTCAGAGGGTTTTTCTCCCCCTCTTCTTCTCCTCCTCGCCGTTTCCTCCCCCCCCAAGAGGCCCAGAAGTTCACATCTGGCCAATGCCGCCACACTGGAAATCTAGACTTCTGGAGTGTTTGCACAACACACACAACCATCTGCTCGCACCTCTTAAGCGCTTGGCGGGAGAGCTTCCAAATCTCAAGCCAGGAATTTGGGCCCAACACAGCCGGTGGGGCCAGGGAAAGGCAGCCCCAAACACCTGTGGGGATTCTCCTCCTGCCACCGGTTCCTCTGAGCATGCCACAACCGCACTCTACAACTGGGAAGCTTTAATTTTGCAAGGGACCAGTGCGAGCCAGTCCACCCAGGAACTCAAAAGTCTCCTAAATAAGAAAGCTTCTTCCCAGCCGGGAGGGAAATGCACATCGTCCTCAACTTATAACGGGTCACATAGCGACCATGACAACAGACTCCCCCCCCCCCAAATCTGTTTATGACTGCACCTATCCAATGGGTATAGCTTGGGCCCCTAGCAACCGACCTGCATGGATGGCAGTTTGCAGCAGTGCATCCTCACAGGACTGCAATTAACGATGGCTTGTTTTGTGGAAAATTGGCATTTGTTTCTAGTTTTCGGCAAAAATGCTCCCCAAACAATAGCTCTGCTTAATGACCGCAGTTTTTACTTAACTGCCATAAAACAGGGCCCTAAGAAGAGCTTCTGACGTGATGCCACGCTTCTTCAATCGTCACGGGCAGGCCACCGTTGGTTTAATGACCGTTTGAAGTTACCACGGCATTGAAAGAAGTGACTTATGACCAATTTTCACACTTATGACCGTTGCAGCATCCCTGTGGTCCAAAATTCAGGTGCTGGGCAATTGTCTCATGTTTATGACGGTTGCAGCGTCCCGGAGTTCACATCCTTCCCCCTTTGCCACCACGTGACAAGCAAAGGAAACGGGGAAGACGGATTCACTTGGCAATATAGCTCGGCTAACTTAACGAGGGCAGTTGTTGCTTAACAACCGTGGCAAGAACGGTCGTAAAATGGGGCAAACTTACTGAACAAACATTTCACTTAGCAACGTGCATTTTTGGCTTCAACTATGGATGAGAGCCATTGTGGCGCAGTGGTGAAAACAGAGTCCTGCTGGCTGCCAGCAGTTCGACTCGCCCTTCCGCCCTTCTGAGGAGGGTAAAATGAAGAGCGAAACTGTAGGGGTCAGGATGATGGTTTTATAAACCACTTAGAGGGGGCTGGAAATATAATTATAATTCTAAGTGCATATAATGTATAATTCTAAGTGCGAAGGGAGGGAGGGAGGGAGGAAGGAAAGAAGGAAGGAAAGAAGGAAGGAAGGAAGGAAAGAAGGAAGGAAAGAAGGAAGGAAGGGC